ATGTAAAGCACTGCGTAAATTGACGGCACTATATAAGTACCTGAAATAATAATAATAATGTATGCACAGGGGCATATTTACTGCAAGGTAAACAAGGAATTGGCCTCGGGTGGTATTTTTCAGGGTGGCAGCTCTGCCCCCCAGAAGAAGGGACACGCGTGAGGATGGGGACCCAGTGAGGTACTGCATGACCTCTGCTCCACCACATGGGATCCAAAAGAGGCTGCATACTGCAGGAGGGTGGCAGAGCCCGAATGTCATTCCTGGGGATGTCTGGATAACTGGCTGAGCTCACCCGGGCTTTCCTGATCACGATTCCGGTGATCTTTGGTTGTGAAGGTGAGTGCTGTAAGAACTATTTCTCTCTCTCTCATTGGGGTGGGGGGCACATGATTTTTGTATTGCCCAGGGCAGCACAAAAACCTAAATACACCACTGTGTATGCACCCCACTACCCCCACCACACATTGCAGCTGTACTCCACCTTCTGCCACTGAACATGTACCCTGCCTCATGACAACCCTGCATGCTTTTTCTGCTTTCACTAACATGCCTGCATGATGACCCTTTCTAACCACTGTGCTTATGCACACCCCCATGTCATGATTGCATGGCCAACCCAACCTTGCCCATTCTGCAAAGAGCACATTCTTCCTAGTACAATAAAGAAGAAGTTGCTGGAAAATATACTGTACTGTATGTATAAAGAAAAGCTTTACACCCATACCTCCTTTTTATATGAATGTTCTTTAAAACTTTTTTTTTTTTTTTATATAACAGAGAACAAGTCACCCTCTCCATATTTTGTTTGAAAGGGGTTTCTTTTTTGAACATTAAAAGAATTTGCAAGACCTGTTAGTTAATTCCCCTTCACGTTAGATTGTCAAATTAGGTTTCCATAAGGACTAGGTAGACATCCTCTTTTTATTTAAAGATACCTCAATGGTATGCATCATTTAATAGGACAAAGACAGCAAACTCTCATTAAAATAACAAACGCACTACTTTTTTTTGCTGCAGACCAAAGAGGTCTGTGAATAAATCATTGTTCGCAGAAAAGAGCACCCCTAATCTTTGTGACATGTGTCTCTGCTCCGTGTCATGTTTTAAGACTAACAACTTGGTTGCATATTCTACAGGACTTATAAATTAAAGAAGCCCTCCCCTTTTAAGTAATTTCCTTAAAATCTCCGCAGCTGACAGGGACGCTATTTGCTTAGTAACCACGATGGGCGTATTTTGCCGGATACAGAGAATATAAACTGACATGCTATCGGGCAATCTGGATGCATAATTAATAGGGGCATAAATTAACATGATTAGGGCTTTATTGGATGCTATTGCTCCGGAATCTACAAAAGGATGCCGGAATAAAACATGGCTGTGTTTTCACGTCTGATAGACATCAGCGTGTAATGCATATTATCCCTGACGTTCTCATGTTAGGGGGTGATGACAGCACTCAAATTAATTGAAATTTTTATCTTCCTGTAGGAAGTAGACAGTTCTGACGAGCCGTTTGCAGCAGATCTGATAGAGGAAGCAATATATATATATATATAATATATATATATAAAATCAGGATTTGTTCATGGTTTGATAGAGCTACATCGAAAACCCACCACTTTTAACTGTGCTTGACTTATTTTATGTGATAAAAAAAGAGCTTAAACAACCAGCTCTTCGGGATTTTGGTAATGATTACATCATGAAATTTCCTGCATGTTGAATATAATTTTATCATTTATGAATGTATTGTGGGCTTGTTTATATTTATAAATGTGTCCCATATGGGAACTGCCATGGTTGACCCCCTGAAAATGCCAGTTGACTGGCAGTTATGCTAATATTCTGCGTTAAAGTGGACCTTTTACTTTACATGCATACATTTCTGATGAGTCAGAGTATAAAGCAACAGAATCATTTTTCAAAAAAAGATTCACCTGATAAGAATTAAAAGCTGTCCTTGATATCCAGTCCAAGTAGAACCCACCCACTTCCTGAATTGAATTTTTCCTGCCTCATTTAGCTTTTTCCTCCCCACCCAGATTGTCCCTGTACCACACCATCATTCGTTGGATTTCAGTTTTTGAATTGTAACCTGGACTGTAGCTGATAACTGCTGCAGAACGTCTTCCTTTGTTTATGCTGTATTATCCTTCTACAGTGTGGACAGGCTTAAACTAAATAGTCATATTATAGTGGCCCCCTACTGACCCCGGGCCCTCGGGCAGTGCCCGAGTTTCCAAATGGTCAGTCCACCCCTGGTCGTTACACATATACACAATAACAGCCACTCAGTAGACCACAGGGGAGCTCCAACAACAAGCATTGCTCAGGCAAAGTGAGACAGACTGAGCACATCTTATATAGACAGGCAGACAAGGAGGTGGGACAGGAAGTGATGAAAGGGAACGACATAAAACCCAGGGAATAGCAGACGATGCCCACAGGTGAGCACAGACAAACACATATGTGAAGAAACCAAGAGCAGCAAGGAGGTAAGATTAAACACACAAGAGGCTTCAAGCCAACTTGTGACACATCTCCTAGGTTGTAAGCTCCAAGGAGCAGGGCCCTAGTAACCCTCTTGTATTGAACTGTATTGTTGCTGTATTGTCTCCCGTTATATTGTAAGGCACTGAGCAAACTGGTGGCGCTATATAAATCCTGTATAATAATCTTTAGGGAGACCACTTTGCATTGCTTGCTTATGGAGTGTCTCCAGTGCAGAGGACAGCCATCTTGGTTGGATCTGGATCAATCCTGGAGAACAGTGACTGATGCAACAAAGCCTGAGAAATATGGGTCTGCAGGCTGCTAAGAGGAAAATAAGGGACAGTCTTAAAGCTAGAAGGGGTGAAAATAAAAAGATTGGGCTGCTGGCTGAACACAACTCTGGCATAGCTGACCTCAATCAGGTGAGACCTCAGATAAAGAGACTGCTCATTGCACAGGACCCTGCCTCAAAGACTGGGAATTTTCTCCCTGGGAAGGTGTGATGTGGAATTTGGATACCTGGTGAGATCAGGCTGGTTAGAGAGCACTCCCACCTCCTGTAATGAAAGAAATAAGAGGGTGGCTCAGCAGGATTAAAAGAGAGAAATCACAGCAATTTCTTTTCATGGCTGACTTGAACTTGACAAGAACTGAATCAGCATGTGTGTCTGGAAACCCAGAAGAGGCATTCTGGGTTTGGTAAGAGACTAACATTGCACAAGATAATGTGGTTTCTGCTGGAGGAAACTAATGTGCTTTCTTGAAGGGCCTCAACTTTGCTGGCCAAATTTTTTGTTCATCATTCCCTGACGAGTGTGACAAAACGGGGATTGTTATAGCGAGTAAAGACTGTCTTTATATAATGTTGATAGGTAAATGTTCTGTTCTGGTAATTAATATTATTCAGAATTCCAAAAAGACTGCCTTTTTTGGAGTGAGTTGGAGTTTTGATAGACTGAGTTTTGCTTCATTGAATGCAGTAGCACCTTCATGTATTTGGTATTTAGTAGACTGACCTCACTTAATTTCCATATATGAAGCTATATGGAGGTGCCCAACCAGACTGTTTTTCTTTTTAAAATCTTGTCCTATTTATTTTAGGACCACTCTCCTAATGAAACTGAGATCTATATGAGGTTGTCACCATTGGGTTGGGGGGGGGGGGGGGGTGTCCCTACCTCCATATGTGTTACTTCCAGGCTTCTATATGTAACCCCGTCTGGATGTCTCATAATCTCACCCACATTTTTCTTCATCTAACTCTTCCTCTTCTTGCTTGGTCCTGCAGTGTGGATAACCGTCAGTACTTGTAAATTCGTCCTTCCTTTTTTACACCCCTGAAGAAGCCCATCCGGTGAAACGCATTGGGCTCCACCACTTTCCTTATCTTTATCTTCAACTAAGATATTAGTTATTCTATGCTATATAAAATACCTTCGATTAAGGAGGGTGGATTGGGGCCCACTGTACTGAAGGGTTCAGGCTATTGTTGATTGTTTTCATGAGGGGGTCCATAAACCCCAGTTTTTATACTTTGTAATAAAATGTAATGGCTTTTTACATATATCTGTGTATATGTATATTTTCCTGAGGGTATTAAAGTCCCATACACCTTTCTTCTTTTTTTTTGGAATGATCAATAAGGGACGTGGTGCCGATGGATCAGCTGTACTGGTTACTAGTAATATTATTCAGAACACTGCAGGGTTTAGCCATATCTCTCAAAGAAACATTATTATTTTATTGATTGTTTGTATAAGCAAACTTTCTAATCCTTTCTTCTTTTAGGCTATGCTTGGCCTAATAAATTCTTTAAAATACCTCAAGGTGTGTCGGTTTAGTGCTGAGCATGCAAGGTGTGTCATCTTTAGGTGTGCAGAGAAATCATAAAACAAATCAGTTGCTCATCTGGGGGTAGTGCTACACGTTCATGAAGGCTCACATGTTGGTGTTACCTAAGGCGGTCTGCAGGAGCAGAGTGGAACCAGGGAAGGCAAAATATGAGGAATATACTTCAGTTTTAATGTAAAATGATAAGATTCAGCAGCAAAGGGTTCTGTATATTATTCATAAAGTTGGCAGCTATGTCCTTATTGACATCAATTCAAGACATAATATCACCAGCTTCACTAACAGTGATGAGCCGAATGTACCTGGGTTTGATTCAGGACAAGTTTGGTGAACTGTAGCAAATCTAAACAACCATTAAAGTGTTACTAAACCCACATCAGTAAAATCAGCCTGTATATGCAGTAAAGCATGCTTGTTGTATTTACTGTGGAACCTAAGGAGTTAATCCTCTGCATTGTGTAAAAAGGCCGTTTGATCCTTTCCTCTCTGTTCCTCCCCCTGTTCAAGTAACCGCCATTTATCTCCAGACTGAACAGTAGGCATGCACATGCTCAGTTTGGTGTGTATTGCTGGAGAGGTTTTATTTTTTTTTATTCTTGGGAGAGTGCATGTGATCAGCACAGGGCCAAACAGTACTGTCCAGACAAAGGTCAGGGGATTTCCATCCTCCTAGAGCAGAAAGAAAACTCCTCCTACAAGCTTTAGCTAGTGATGGGCTGGACACAGACAGAAGTCACAAGACTGCTCTAACTGCTGATGAGAAGAGGTATTTAGCTGTTAGTGATATTATAACAAAGTGGAAGCAACTGGGAACAACAGCAATTCAGCCATGAAGTGGTGGGCCAAGTAAAAAGAGCGGGGTCAGTGCATGCTGAAGCACACAGTCGCCAACTGTTTGCAGAGTCAATAGCTAAAGACCTCCAAACTTCGTGTGGCCTTCAGATTAGCACAACAACAGTGTGTAGAGAGTTTTCATGGAATGGGTTTCCATGGCCGAGTAGATGCATGCAAGTCTTACATCACCAAGTGCAATACAAAACTTTGGATGCAGTGGCGTAAAGCACGCCGCCACTGGACTTTAGAGCAGTGGAGACATGTTCTTTGGAGTGAAGAATCAGGCATTCTGGGGTACCATTTAAAATGAATGGCACAATATCACAACAACATGCATATGACGTGTTAATTTTCCAATCACTCTGTCACCTGAACATGTTCATACAGAATTGCCCTGACCCAATTTCCAACAGATTGGCAAAACATTGTCTACCCCGTATGGACTCCTTTAGCATTGAACACATAATCACCCACTCGTAATACACACATTCTTTTCTGAGAACTAGAGAGAAATCTAAACAAATGGAAGGAAGAAAATTAAAGTCAGCGTAGGGCAGGGGATCAATGCTTTAGAATGAGCAAAGTTGAGAACTAAAAAAAAAGACAATGAACAGAATTAAGGAGATAATAAGTAAGAATAGATTTTCTAGCTGGAAACGGCTACAGGTTGTAATTAGTTGGCAAAATATTGTTAATCTCTCAACTAACAAAGGACCTGAAGGGGTAGGTGTCTGCACACATGCTGTGCTGATATTCTGCAGCTATTTCATTGAATCACGCAGGTTTTTTTTTTTGGTTCAGAGAACTCCAGGAATGTATACATAAACACCCTCTCTCACTTATTCATTAAAAAATCATGAATTATTTTTTTTTTCACGCAGCATTGAAGTAATCTCAAATCTTCCTTGATAATAAGTTGCCAAATAGTAGCTGAAAGTTGAAGTCAGGCTTGCAGTGGGAGGAATAAAACAAAGGCAGCGTTATAGAAAGGAGGGCATCCTGGGTGGGCATTACCATTGTGGTGGGGCTCAGTAGTAATTTAAAGTGAATATATTTCTACTTAAAGCAGAGGTTCAGTCTGTGAAAAAAAAATAAAAGTCAGCAGCTACAAATCCCATAGCTGCTGATTTTTAACCTCCCTGGAGGTATTCCCGAGTGTCGCTCGGGGTAAAGTTTCAGCACCACAAGCAGTAACCCCGAGCTACACTTGGGAATACCCTGCAGCATTGCTCCGGGATCCCTCGATCACTTACCTTGTCCTTTGCTCCCACGATGTCCCCCCTGCAGCGTCCCCAGCCATCTCCTCCGGCCGATGCCGGCATCTGTCTTCCGGGTTCCGTTCCCTGCGACGTCATGACGTACGGGGACGGAACTGGTGGGAAATTTAAACATTTTAAAATGACATTTACTAATACACTAAAATCACATAGTATAATATTACTGTATCAAACCATTTCACATACATTTTGTCCCGAGTGCTTTGTCCTGTGCCCTGCCTGCATTTTGACTGTTCTTTCTTCCTGGAAACTGAGAAACGTCCATGGTGTCCAAAAAGCATCCCTTTAGGTCAAAAGCGGTTTTAGACCAGCTAGAGAACAGCGATAGTAAATCAGAACCACTTGCAGAATTGAGTGATAATGATTTGTGGGGAAATTCGTCATCAGACACTGAAAAGAATTTTGCGACTAAGATCAGTGATGTGCAACTTGGCACTCTATTTCAAATTTCACTGTTTTTGGTTTGATTATATTATTGAATTAAATGTATTATTATTATATTATTATTTATCACATTATAATTTATGATTTCGTGTTTCAAATTTTAACATACCCGGGATGTTTAATAGACTCTTGTTTCAGTGAGTTATTCCTAAAAATTACATGCCTACAATAAAAAAAAGGTATATTTCCCTGCAAAAAAAATTTACCTATTTGAGCACAGAAATATGGACATAATCACACCGCTAGGGAGGTTAATAAATGGACACTTACCTGTCTCAGGATCCAGTGCTGTACTCACCAGAACTAGTTCACTGGCCTCCATGTTGCCTGCACCGGCATCCTAACTGTGGGCAGCCAGCTGTACGGCTTTTGGCTTCACAGCCGTGGGCCCACTGTGCATGCGCAAGTCACGCTGCACTTTGTCAATGGTCCCATTGTCTTTTGGGACCTGTCATGTGTCTCAGAAGACTGCAGGGTGAGAGGAGGGAAAGAGAAATTTGACTCGGATTGCCTGTCAAAACTATGTACCTGCTTCCCCCTCTCCAAAATTACATGCCAAGTTAGGCAGAGGAGGGGTGTCTTTAAGTGGAACTTCCCCTTTTGGGTGGTAATAAACCAAAAATGTAATATAGTTCAGCTTACCAATCATTAGCTGTGGTGGCTGCATTTGCTTTCTTTTCTTAGGCTTTTTTGCCTCTGTTTTCATTTGGTGATCTGGGCAGTAACATATGTCCTGTATTAGCGTGCCCCCACTGTGGATGAAGGAGCACAGGAACACCTTTGGACACTCCCTTCCCCCCAGTCTGGGTGGCATGGAGTGTTAGTTGTGCTTGCAGATTTAAATACACTAACAAATTGAAGCCAAACTATAAGTAATACTTTATAAGCAGTTACAGCAACATTTGTTTTACTTTTGTGATAAAGGTTTTACAAAAATAAATAAAAACTGATGGTAGTAAGCACAACTGCTAGTGTTAAATGGTTTGTATCATCTTTGGAACGAGGATACATTCTGCTGGAGAGTTTGCTCTTTTGAAAAACAACAGACTGGCCAGATCACCAGATGAAAATAGAAAAAAAGAAAGTTTAAAAAGGGAAAACTTATGCAGCCATTGCATATCAGAATTGGTAAGCTGCAATATAATGTTGTCTTTCCAGTTTAATACCACTTTAAAATATGTTTGAAAAAAAGATTCCCTAAAGAGAGAAATAATACCTACCCCTCCCACCATTCTTAGCTGTGCTTTACTGGATTCTGCATCACACTTCCAGGTGTATCCGATGCCTGGTCCCCCTGCTGCATGCTGTGGATCCTTCTGCTGATCCCTACATCATTATTGTGTCCTGCAGTGATGTAAGGGCCAGTGGAAGAGTGCAGAGAGGGATCAGAGGGATCAGGCAGTTTATTCAGCCAGTTTAGTTCTTGAAAACTGCAGGGATAGGTGGTGTGGGTGGCATTTTCTTTGTAGGGATCCTTTAAAAAATCCTCTTAAAGTCATATTAAAAAATTTTTGTCCTTAAAATAAAAGATAGGTTATACTTACGTGCTCTGTGCAACAATATTGCACAGAGCAGTCCCTTACCTACCATTGCATTGTTTGCAGTGTCTCTTGTGAGACCAGGAAGTAAAGGGAGCATTGCTGCACCCAGAACGACACTGAAAAACAGTGGCAGGAGTCAGGTAAGTGTTAAGGGATGGGGGGGGGGGGGGGTTGCAGGTAAGACAAGTAGTGGGGAGTTTTTTTTTACTTTAATGTTTTACTAAACCTAGGCCCCTGCATTCACTATATTTGGTCTCCCACACTACACAAAACATGAAAATGCAATTATTTTAGTACATATAAACTGCTAAATACCTTTTCTAATCAGCAGTATATAGCAGTCTTGTGACTTCTATCAGTGTCCAGCTGAGCAGTTTTTTTTCTCCTCTCTGACTGTCCTGTGAGGCAGCATAACCCCTGACCCTCTGTCTGGACAGTGCTGGTTGGCCCTGTGCTGATCACATGCACTCTTCCAAAGAAAAAAAAAAACTCTCTAGCAATACACACCAAACTGAGCATGTGCAGAGTGTCTCCTAGAGCTCTGTACTATTAGCAGATAGATTGGGGACAATAGAAGAAGAGGAGGATCAGAGAAGTCAGGATCAAATAGCCTTTTTATTCAATGCAGAGGATTAACCCCTTAGGTTCCACAGTGAGTATAACAAGCATGCTTTACTGCATATACAGACTGATTTTACTGTTGAGGGTTTAGTAACATTTTAATGTAGACAATGCATTAAGGGTAAACAAATTTAGACTTTAGAACAACTTTAATTAGCGACAATGTTGCTTTAATAAACAGGCAGGAACAGGGCAGGGTTACAAACCAGCAGAACTGACCACCCTATGAGGAATTCCCAGCCTCTTTACTTTATGAAGTCATTCAGCACAGCAGGGGTGGGTGGATGACTTGAGTATGGGCTTTATTTGTCAAATATTTTGGCAGGTTAATCAATTTATGCATATGTGTTTCAATATTGTGATAGCCAGGGGCGGACTGACCATTTGGAAACTCGGGCACTGCCCGAGGGCCCGGGGTCAGTAGGGGGCCCCATGAGATGCCCCTGGTACCTTTTTCATAGGCTTTTTTGAGTTTGGGCAAGGACACAGGGGCCCCATGATCCCCTATTGCCCGGGGCCCCTGGTGATAGCTGTTTGGTTGGATGCAGTTTTAAAGTGGTTGTAAAGGCAGAAGGTTTCTATTCTATGCATGAAGGTAAAACATCTTCTGTGTGCAGAATGCCCCCCACAGCTCCCCTAATACTCACCTGAGCCCCCCTCTCAATCCAGTGATGTGCACAAGAGCCTCGGCTGTCCTGTATAGATGGGCTGTATGTTCGAATTGTACGTTAGTTCGACTCGAACATTCATATGTTTGGGAAACACACTAATGGCAAGGGCATTCGGCGGGCTATTTACCCGCCGTGCCCCACATTGCACTATGCCTTGACAGTGCCTTGTGATTGGCCAAAGCAATGTACCTGACCACAGGTCAGGTGCAATGCTTTGGCCAATCACAGCACATGGTGATGTCACAAGGGGGCGGCATGACACCACCCCCTTGTGACATCATGACACTAGTTAGGAACTGTCATCCCAGCGTAACTGTCAGATGGTGGAAGCCAGCATCGAGAGCGGAGCGTCTTTTTTTTTCATGTCGGCGGTGGTGGCAGGCATCGTGATTGACGTTGAATCTACTTTGGGGGACATTTTTTAAATTTTTGTTTTTAATAAAGGTCTTATCAAAGACTGTCTCCTGTAATTTTTTCACTACACTTTTTTTTGTGAATGGGTAGCAGTACTATGTACCCCATACTCATTCACATGGGGGAGGGCAGGTATCTGGTATGGTTCGGGGGGGGGGGGGGGGGGACTCTCACTCGTTCGCCCCCTTTCCTGACCTGCTGGGCTGCATTCTTGGATAAGGGTCTGGTATGGACTTTGGGGGGGGGGGGGCCACACCAAATTTTTTTTTTTGGTGTGGAAGTTCCCCTTAAAATTAATACTAGACCCGAAGGACTTTTTTTTGTGTTTTTTTATTTGCGGGACAATGTCAGCAATTCTTTTTACAGCGGGGGAAGCTCACAGCTGAAACAGTAAAGAATGTGTTTAGTATTTCTGCGGTATCTTACCATATACTCAGATGTGGTAAGATACCGCTTAGTAAATTGTCCCCTCTGTCAGTGGTGTATTTTGGTTTTGTGCTGCCCTAGGCAAGACTAAAATCGGGCACCCCCCGCATCTAAATTTGTCCCACCCCTTCCTGTTTAAGATCCACCCCTTCATCTGTAAACCCCACCCCTTCCTATTTAGGCTCCACCGCTTCCTATTAGAGCCCTGCCCACTGACAACGATGGGGCGCTATTCCTCCCACTGACATCAACAATGGGGCACTATTCCTCCCACTGACACCAATGATGGGGTACTATTACTTCCACACCGACACCAGTGAAGGGGCACTATTCCTCCCACACTGGCACTATGATGGGGCACTATTCCTTCCACTGACACCAATGATGGGGCACTATTCCTTCCACTGACACCAATGATGGGGCACTATTCCTCCCACTGACACCAACGATGGGGCACTATTCCTCCCACTGACACCAACGATGGGGCACTATTCCTCCCACTGACACCAACGATGGGGCACTATTCCTCTCACTGACACGATGGGATACTATTACTTCCACACTGACACTAATGATGGGGCACTATTCTTCCCACACTGGCACTACTGATGGGGCACTATTCCTCCAACTGACACCAATCAGAGAGAGAGAGAGGAGGGAGGGAGAGAGAAGAGGAGAGAGGGGGAGGAGATAGAGAGGGGGGAGAGAGAGTAGAGAGAGAGAGAGAGAGAGAGAGAGTAGATAGAGAGAGAGAGAGAGAGAGAGAGAGAGAAAAGAGAGAGGGGGGGAGAGAGAGAAAAGAGGGGGGGGGAGAGAGAGGGGAGAGAGAGAGGGGGGAGAGAGAGAAGTGAAAAAGGGGGGAGGGGAGAGAAGGAGGGAAGGAGGGGGGGGGGGGGGAGGGGATAGGGAGGGAGGGGAGAGGAGGGGAGGAGGGAGGGGAGGGGAGGAAGAGAGGGGGGGGGGGGGGAGAGAGGGGGGGAGAGATGGAGAGAGAGGGGGGGGGAGAGAGAGAGGGAGAGGGGGGAGGGGGGAGAGAAGGGAGAGGGGGGGGGGGGGGGAGAGGGCAGAGGGGGGGAAAGAGAGGAGGGAGGGAGAGGAGGAGTGGGGGAGAGGGGGGGGGGGGGGGGGAGAGGAGGAGGGGAGAGGGGGGGGGGGGGAGGGGGGGGGGAGAGAGGAAATAGGGGGAGAAAGAGGGGGGAGAGAGAAGGGGGGGGAGGGGGGGGGGAGGGGGAGAGGGGAGGGGAGGGGAAGGGAAGGGGGGGGGGGGGGGGAAGGGGAGGGAGGAGAAGTAGAGGGGGGGAGAAGGAAGGGGGGAGGGGGAGGGGGGGGGGGGGGGGGGGGGAGGGGAGGAGGGAAGGAGGGGGAGGAGGGGGAAGGGGGGGGGGGAGGGGGGGAGGGGGAGGGGAGGGGGGGGGAGGAGAGGGGGTGGGAGGGGGGGAGAACGGGGGGAGAGGGGGGAGAGGGGAGGATGATGGGAGAGGGGGGGGGGGAGGGGGGGGGAGGGGGGGGAGAGAGAGAGGGGGGAGAGGGAGAGGGGGGAGGGGGGGAGGGGGGGGAGGGGGGGGGAGGAGGGAGAGGAGAGTGTGGGAGGGGAAGGAGGGAGGAAGAGAGAGGGGGGGGGAAGGAGAAGGGGGAGGAAGAGATAGAGGGGAGGGGATGGGGAGTGGGGGTGGGGGGGGGGGGGGGGAGGGGGGAGGGGGGAGGAGAGGGGGGCAGGGGGGGGGGGAGGGGGATGGGGGGGGGGGGGGGGGGAGGGAGGGGAGAGAGGGAGAGAGAGAGAGGGGGGGAGGGGGAAGGGGGGGGGGGGGGGGGGGAGGGGGAGGGGGAGGGGAGGAAGGGAGGGGGAGGGGGGGAGGGAGAGGGGGAGAGGTGGGGGAGGGGGGGGGAGAGAGGAGGGGGAGAGGGGGGGGAGGGGGAGAGAGGGGGGGGGGGGGGGAGAGGGGGGGGGGGGGGGGGAGGGAATTGAGGGAGGAGGGGGGGGGGGGGGGGAAGATAGAGAGGGGGGGGGGGGGGGGGGGGGGAGAGGGGGGGGGGTGGGGGAGAGGGGAGGGGGGAGGGGGAGAAAGAGAGGGAGGGGAGGGAGGGGAGGGGGGGAGGGGGGGGGGGAAGGGGGAGAGGGGGGGGGAAGAGGGGGGGGGGGGGGGGGGAAAGGGAGGGGGGGGGGGGGGGGGGGGGGGGGGGGGGGGGAAAGAGGGGGGGGGGGGGGGGGGGGGGGGGGGGGGGGGGGGGAGGGGGAGGAGGAGGGGAGGGAGAGGGGGGGAGGAGGAGGGGGGGAAAGAATACACAAGGGGTAAGGGAAGTGTGGGTGGGGCAGGGGGGGGGGGGGGGGGGGGGCAGGGGGGCAGGAAGAGGGGGGGGGGGGGGGGGGGGAGGGGAGGGAAAGGGGAGGGAGAAGGGAGGGGGAGAGGGGGAGGGGGAGGGGGGGGGGGGAAGGAGGGGGGGGGGGGGGGGGGGGGGGGGGGAGGGGGGGGGGAGAGGGGGAAGGAGGGGAGGGGAAAGGGGGGAGAGGGAGGGGAGGAGGGGGGGGGGGAGGGGAGGGAGGGGGGGAGAGGGGGGAGGGGGGGGAGGGAGGGAGGGGGGGGGGGAGGGGGAGGGGGAGTGAGAGGGGGGAGGGGGGGGAGGGGGGGAGGGGGGGGGGGGGGGGGAGGGGTGGAGGGGGAAGGAAAAGGAGGGGGGGGGGGGGGGGGAAGGGGGGGAAAGAGAGGAGGGAGCGGGGGGAGGAGGGGGAAGGAGGGGGGGGGGGGCGGCCGTGGTGGAGCATACAGTAGCTAACCGTATGCAGGAGATGGATAGGGGAGGTGACTGGCAGCACATAGAGCAAATGAGAAATGCACAATCCTCTATGTGCCGCCCTGCCCCCTCTCCAGCCAGCTCCATGGCTGACCAGGTTCTCTGTCCTCCTCACCCATCCTCGCCGCCGAGCACACACGATCCGCCCGAGCACGCCCCCTGGCCAAGCACAGCCCTTTTGCAGCGACAGCACTGGTCCCTTCTGCCTGAAGGGGCGGTGCCGCCCCCCTGAAAAGTGCCGCCCCAAGGCAGATGCCTTGTTTGCCTCATGGCAGATATGCCCCTGCCCTCTGTTCGGAGTTTACGGTCGAATGTTCAACCGCAAACCCGAACAGCGGGGTAGGTTCAGCCCATCACTACTGTACCGTGATTCCCTCTCCTCTTTGGCTGAGACAGCATAGGGAGTTATTGGTTCCCACTGCTGTCAATTACAGCCTTTAAGCCAATGAGGAGAGAGCAGTGTGGGCAGGGGCTGAGCTCCAGCTCTATGTGTCTTATGAACGTATAAAGCTGGGCTTGGGAGTGAGTATACACAATGACCCCATAGCAAGCAACTTGCTACTAGGGACATTGGTCAAGGGGGAGGAGCCAGGAGCACTGGGGGGGAGGGACCCAAAAAGAAGAGGACTGGGGCTGCTCTGTGAAAACCACTGCACAGAGCAGGTATGTATGATATGTTTGTTATTTAAAAAAAAAGGAAAAAGCCTAACCTTCCATACCACTTTAAGGTATACAGTATGTAAACCCAACCGCTACAATAACATATGGGCATTACCATGGTAATGTTATATCAAAAGTAATTTTCAATCATTTTTTAAATCCTGCAGTTGTCTTTAGAATATTACCTGGGGATGGTTGTGTTGTTTCCCTTTGTCACACTTTCTACGCTTCTAA